TAGCTAGCTGTCTTCCAAATTCCTTGGCATAAATGAGCACCTCCAGTGCTGCATCCGTTTGTTGACATATCTCAATGGGTATTCCATCAATTCCTGAAGCCTTGTTTTTTTTTTGCCAATTCTTTCAGTGCAGCTTGGACTTTTCAGTGCCATTAGTTCTTGATCATATACTACCTGCTGAAATGGTTGAATGTCAACCAGTTCTTTTTGGTCCAGTGACCTTGTATATTTTTTCCCTTTTCTTTTGACACTTCCTGCATTGTTCAGTATTTCCCCCCATAGAATCCTTCAGTATTGCAACTTGAGACTTGAATTTTTTCTTAAGTTCTTTTGATTTGCGAAATGCTGAGTGTGTTCATCCCTTTTGATTTTCTAAGGCCAAGTTGTTGTACATTTCATTATAATAATACTTTATGTCTTTGAGCTGCCTTTTGAAACCTTCCGTTCAGCTCTTTTACATCATCATTTCTTCCATTCACTTTAGCTACTCTTCATTCAAGAGCAAGTCTGAGTCTCTTCTAATATCCATGTTGGTCTTGTCTTCCTTTTCTGTCTTTTTAAATAACCTTTTGCTTTCTTTATGTATGATGTCTCTGATGTTATCTCACCACTCATCTGTTCTTTGGTCATTGGTATTCAGTGGGTCAAATCTGTTCTTCATATGGTTTCTAAATTCAGGTGGGATGTATTCAAGGTTGTATTTTGGCTGTCATGGACTTCTTTTAATCTTCTTCAGCTCCAACTTAAACTTGCATGTGAACAATTGATGTTCTGTTCTACAGTAAGCCCCTGGCCTTGTTCTGATTGATAATGTTGAGCTGCTTCATTGTCTCTTTCTACAGATATAGTCAGTTTTATTCCTGTGTATTTCATCTGGCTATGTCCACGTGTATAGTTAGTTGCTGTTTATGTTGTTTGAAAATGGTATTTGCAGTGAAGAAGTTACTAGTCTTGTAAAATTCTATCATGTGATCTCCAGCATCATTTCTGTCACCAAAGTCATATTTTCCAACTACTGATCCTTCTTTGCTTCTGATTTTTGCATTCTAATCACTAGTAATTATCAGTACATCTTGATTGCATGTTTGGTCAATTTCAGATGCAGAAATTGGTAGTAAATGTTCAGTTTCTTCATCTTTGGCTTTAATGGTTGGTGTGTAAATTTGAATAATAACCATATTAACTGATCTTCCTTATAGGCTAGATATATGGTTATTATCTTATCACTCACAGCATTATAGGGAGCTCTGGTGACATAGTGGGTAAGGCATTTGGCTGCTAGCCAGAAGGTCAGCAGTCCAAACCCACCAGCTGCTCCACAGGAAGATGATGAGGTAGTCTACTTCTGTAAAGATTTACAGCCTTGGAAACCCATTGGGGGTCGCTGGGAGTCAGAATTGACTTGATGGAAGTGAGTTTGGTTTTTGGTTTTGGACAGCATTGTACTTTAGGATAGATCTTGAAATGTTCAAAAAGAAGATTTTTTGACTACGAATGTGACGCCATTCCTCTTTAATTTCTCATTCTCGGCATAGCGGACTATATGTTATACTATTCCAAATGGCCAATTCCAGTCCATTTAAACTCACTAATGCCTAGGATATTGATCTTTATGTATTCCATTTAATTTTTTCAACTTTCAACTTTCCTAGATTCATGCTTTGTGCATTGCACACTCCCATTATTATAGATGTTTGCAGTTGGTTCTTCTTATTTTGAGTTATGCCACATAAGCAAATGAAGGTCCCAAAAGCTTTATTCCATCCTTATCATTCAAGTAAACTCTATTTTGAAGAGGCAACTCTTCTGCGGTCATATCCTAAGTGCCTTCCAACCTGAGGGGTTCATATTCTGGTACTATATCAGGCAGTGTTTCCCTATATTTATAAAGTTTTCAGTGGCCACTTTTCTCAGAAGTGGACCTGGCCATGTCCTTCCTGGTCTGTGTTATTCTGGAGGCTGTGCTGAAACTTGTCCACCCTGAATAACCCTTAATAGCTCACTGCTGTTGAGTCGATTCTGACTCATAGTGACCCCTCCTTAGGTTTCCAAGGCAGTATCTTTGAGGAAGTAGATTGCTTAGTCTTCCTTCTGAGGAGTAGGTGGTGGGTTTGAACCACCAATCTTCTGGTTAGCAGTCAGATGCCTTAGACACTACACCACCAGAGCTCCCTGGTGGCTCTGATAGTATTTGAAATACCAGTTGCGTAGCTTCCAGCATCACAGACAAGCGGTAGTCCTGCCAATGATAACTACTATAAAACTGATCTGTATTTACTCAGGGCAATGTTTAAGGGAGATCTTTTTATTGGCAGCTCTAGTACATCAAGAATAGCCTAGGATTGGAGAATGGAGAATTGGAACTGAGTTCCAGGTTTCCCATTTGCTCAGTGACCTGGAGCAAGCTAGATTTTTAATATCCTGGGACTAATGAAAACTAAAATGTTAAGCAAAATCACAAGATGATAAAGGTGGGAGATGGAGGTCCAGGGACTTACGTGCTTAGGAGCTTGGTTATCTTCTCTCTCTAATACAACATTTCTTAGCCTTGGTGCTGTTAATATTTTGGACTGAATAATTCTTTGTTTTGGGTTTTGGGGTGTCCAGGGCACTTGACTGCTAACCAGAAGGCTGGAGGTTCAAACCCCCTAGCCACTCTTCAGAAGGAATGTTGGGCAATCTACTTCCAAGGTGATACGGCCTCGGAAACCCAAGGAGCGGTCGCTATGAGTTGGGTCTGACTTAACGGCACATAACAACAATAACAACAATGTATTATATAGTGTTTAGCAGCATCCTTAGCCTCTTTCCACTAGATGCTATTAGCACCAACCCAGTTCGGACAGCTAAAAATGTCTCAAGATATGGGCAAATGTCCCCTGGGAGGCAAATCACCCTATTTGAGAACCTTTGCTGAGCCATTGAAACTGGGGCTTGTAGTTGGCTTGTTTTAAAGATTTATTTGTTACTGTTTTTGTAATAATGAACTGTGATCATTGTTAAAAATTCTAGCACTGTAGTAATAAATTACAAAAATTAAAGTTTTTAAAAAGTCACTTAAAATCCCAGCAGCTAGAAATAACTACTTTCAACACTTGACAAATATTTTCTAGATATACTGGTGGATTTTAAGTATGATTAGATTTAATTTAGATAGATCATTCCTGCTTGAGCTATAGGCATAGGTGGCTGGTGAGTGGAGTGGAGCAAACTTTTAAACTTGATGTAGTTTCAATTTTCTCAACTGTAAATCAGGCATAATAATGCACTGGTCATGGCACCACATCTTTGAATGGGGCTTAGATTAAATAAGGAGCTCCGGTGATATAGTGCCTAAGGCATTTGA